ACAAGCAGAGAAACCCAGGCTTGGGTTTCTTCTGTTCTTCTGTTTTAACTTTCCTTCGTTTATATTTGCCCCCAGGAGTCTTGGCAACTAGGCACGGTGACAGTGACAGCAACCTGAAGGCAAAGAGGACCTGGTTCTCCCTCCCACCCCCGGCCTCATTAAATATGGTGCAGTCCTACCAAGAGGGCTGGGGGTGGAGGCTGTGTGGGCAAAAGACACAGCTTCCAAATGTTCCTGTAAATATTCATAAAAACATGTCAGTGTTGCTAAACCCACAGAAAACGATAATCATCCATCCCCCTCCACCCTGCATCTTTTTGCTATTAATCCTTTTGTCCATGTTGAAATCCTTCCCACAATTGCTTCTTCATCTAGCCTTGTGTTTTTGAATTGCTGCTAGCAACCCCAGCCTTTGCAGCCCTTCATGCAAGTCTGTGGCACCATTTTAAAAGCAATAGTCCTCTGCTGCCAGCAAGGGATGTAAATGACATAAGCCATCCTAGGGATGTTGCTTCTTCTCATCTTGATTCCTTGCTCTTGGGGAACACAGCAATTATTCTGCCCAGGAACTGATGGGAATTTCTGAGCAACCTGGCACATCTGAAACATTTTTCTGACTCATTGAGCTGGCATATACTGCTAGATCAGCACTGGCCCTGCTCCACACAGCCTGTCACCAACAGTGGGTGTTGTTGTAAGCACTAGTTTTGATTGTGGCAAGATGGGCTCTCTGACTCTCCTCTTGTTCTGTTGAGTTCAGAAAAGGCATCTGGACTCCATTCACATTACATTTGACAGGAGTCCAAAACCTAAATGAATGTTGCTAATAAAGAACTGTAAGGAAAAAACATGTTGAGAACTACTGAGTGTATTCAACACATATCAAGCTTGGAGCAGGGGGAAGGGGAGGAGAATGAATGCACTGGGATAGGATCACCAACTGGAGGGCGAGAGCTCCGGGCTCTGTTCCTGGCTCTATCCAAGAATTGTGCCTCAGATTGCCTTCTTTAAATTGAGAATGCTTTATGGTACCATAGAGACTCCACATAACCTTGCATATGTTTAACTCTGCTGTTGGTCAACTAAGTCTCAAATGAACTAGTATTAATTGAACAACCACTCTGTCTGTGTCTTAGTCAATGGCTGCCAAAGGGTAGCTTTAGCTCCTGCATAATCTTTACTGGCTCCTTCTCTCCAAATTCTTTGATCTGGATAACTGGCATGTCCTCTTTCTTTTATATAGTACATTCAAACTTGGCCTATACCCAGGTCCCTTTTATCTTTCACAGGCATATCTTTTGTATTTCAAACTCTATCTTGGTCCCAGAAGACAAATGCACAGAAGAGGGTTTTTTTGTTGTTTTTTTTTTTTTTAAGATTTTTGCTTATTTATGTGAGAGAGAGAGAGAGAGAGAAAACATGAGCAGGGGGAGGGGCAGCGGGAAAGAGAGAAGCAGACTCCCTACTGACCAGGGGGCCCCATACAAGTATCAATCCCAGGACCCTGTGATCATGATCTGAGGTGAAGGCAGACATTTAACCACCTGAGCCACACAGGTGACACAAGAAGTCACCTAAATGTTGACTAAATGTCTAAATGGAGTTGGTCAGAGTTGGCTGAAAAATGTAAATACATGTAAACTTTAAGTATCAACAAAGACCCCCTTGAGCAGTGATTATTTTCAGTACTATCTTCTAAGTATGACTTATCTGCAAAATATACATATACCACAGTAACTAAATGAGGAAACTTTTAAAAGACTATCTTGAGTTTTAGGATAATAATAATATATATTATTATAGTTAAAATTCTTCTTTCAAGTGACATTTAGCTAAAATAGAATAAAATAAAATGATGGAATCTAGATCACCTTAGATTGATAAAAATCATATTATCTGTATGTGAAACATTACCTGCCTTTATGTTATCTAATATAGAGGAAATATGCCTTGGTCATTAAGAAGTGGTATCACATGGGGCACCTGGGTGGCTCAGTGGGTTAAGCCTCTGCCTTCGGCTCAGGTCATGATCTCAGGGTCCTGGGATGGAGTCCCACATCGGGCTCTCTGCTCGGCAGGGAGCCTGCTTCCTCCTCTCTCTCTCTCTGCCTGCCTCTCTGCCTACTTGTGATCCTTCTCTGTCAAATAAATAAATAAAATCTTTAAAAAAAGAAAAAAGAAGTAGTGTCACATGAATAAGAAACAAATATTCCTGCTGAATATTTTTAACTGCTTTGTCCAGAGAAAATTTCAACCATCTAAGTTTTTGCAGAAATATTATGATTAAAAAGTATGTTTTTAAATGGATTACCAGCCTGTGCTATAATGTTATGATTATATTTGTGTTAAGACTCTTTAGTTTTAGCCCATACCTCTGAGACCTTAACCAATCCAGTCTGAAGACTAGGAAAAGTAAAAAAACAAAAACAAAAACAAAAAAAACCTACAAATAATCTAATGCTGTTCTTGGTGGATTATTTTATGGTAGATAACCATGTCAGCAGCTTTTCTGCTCCACAGGTGAAAAACTGGGCCAGGAATTCAGAGTTGTGATGTGTCAAGCAAACATGTAGTACACAGTGTTGATGGAACATATAATAAAGTATTAGCATATTATTTTGGAATAATAGAAGGTTGCCCTTTTTGAGGATGTAATTTCTATGCGTAGATATAACCATGTATAATTTACCCTATCTGAACAAGCAAGGACTGGAGCACAACATTCAGAACAACCTGCAAATATCTCTATAGGTAAAAAGTTTTAGTAAAGTTGGAAAAATATATTGGCTGACTTAAAGGGGAGAATAGTAATGAGTGCAATTGCACATGTGTTAAGTTCCAGGTGTTGGTGAAGCAGTCAAACATCAAAGACCCTGAAGTCAGCTAGAAAGGTAAAATTACAGGTTGAGGGATAGATTTGGGATTCAGCTGCTGAAACTGTGTAAGCTGAGCTCTTAGAGAAGGAGCATATGCAGGACAGAGCAAGAGTCAAATGACCTGAAGCTTGTGGGATTCTTGTGGCTATAAGTCAAGAAGGAAGTTGACAGAAATGTGGAGACAAGTCAAGGAAGAGGAGAATTGAAGAATGAATCTCATATTTGGATTAGAGCAGATCTCATTTAATCATTCAGACATTAAACCAGTATGTAGAGTACTTATTTGTACCTGAACCTGTGTCAGGAGCTGGAGATATAAAGAAGGAAGTTGTGTGTCTTGCCTTTTAGTACTGGCATAGAAAACCAAACAATATTACATGAGGTGACAATTGTTTTATTATAGAGATACTCATGGAGAAATTGCACGGAACTTTTTGGGGGAGTCTCCTTCAACCCTTGATTCCCTCCCAATTAACCAAATCCCCTCTCTCCATCCAGACAAATTTTGACATTTGCTATTTCCATTTCTTTTTTTTTTTTAAGATTTTATTTATTTATTTGAGAGAGAGAGAGAGAGAGAGAGAGAGAATGAGAGGGGAGAAGGTCAGAGGGAGAAGCAGACTCCCCATGGAACTGGAAGCCCGATGTGGGCCTCGATCCCAGGAGTCCGGGATCATGACCTGAGCCAAAGGCAGTTGCTTAACCAACTGAGCCACCCAGGTCACTCAACTACTTCCATTTATTTACCTCTTACTCCTCAGCTCACTCTATGGTAACTTTATGCAGCCACCACTCCACCAAAGTTGCTCTCAAGTTTCTCTGCTAAATTCCAGGATAATCGTCAGTCCTTATAAGCTTGACCTCCTGGCAGGATTTGATACCTTTAATCATTCTTTCTTGTCAAAATCCTTGCCTTCTTTAGCTTTCCAAGATGACACATTTTCTCCCACTTTATTTATTGAAGACCCTTCTTCCTCTACCCACACCATAAATATCAGGGATCTCTGGAGCTCTCTCTCTTATTATGTGTACGCAAATTAGTTCTTCACCATATTTATTGTTATTGTTATCATTGTTATTTCATTGTCCTTCCTGCCAGTCACTGTAAATTTGCAAGGCCAGGATTATATCACTGCTCTATTTCCAATGTTAGCCCTAAGCATGACACAAAGTTTGTGCTTAATAAATATTGAGTGGAGCTCCTGGGTGGTTCAGTGAATTTAGCATCCAACTCTTGATTTCGGCTCAGGTTATGATCTCAGGGTTGTGGGATCAAGCCCAACGTCAGGCTCTGCACTCAGCACACAGTCTGCTTGAGATTCTCTCCTTCTGCCACTCCCCTCACTTGCTCTCCCTCTCTTTCTCTTTCAAAAATAAATAAATAAATCCTAAAAATAAATAAATATTAATTGAGTAAATGAATAGTTAATTGAGTCTAAGAATCCTTTACCATAAGGTTGTACTTGAGTTGGAGTTTAAAAGAAAAGTGGAAGTATCAAGAAAGAAATAAATGATAGATGATTGTAGACATTTGTGGATTTTGAGCAGATGGGTGATATACCAAGATTTGAAAGTTGGATAACTCCAGTGGCAGTGTTGGGGAAAGACAGGAGAAGGGGGTTTAGGACAACTAGTATCGCAATATTTTTAGCAAGAAGGCCGATGGTTATAAAGTAAAAGGTAATGAATGGTTCAAGGCATAATTAAGAGGTTGAACCAATAAACGTTAAAGATGGATTGGCTACAGGGAGTGACAGAGAGGAATTTTGGATGCCTTGGATTCCTTCACTAGCATAGGAAGCCCAGGAGAAAAAGAAATTCGGGAGAAAAGATTAGGACCAAATGAGCCTTGAGTTTTTAAGTGTTCCATTATGGGTGCAGGAGTTAGAATTCATTATAAATTCTAGGAGTTCAGGAACCATGTCACTTTAATCACATAGTTTATCCTAATGTTGGTGCTTGATAAATTCCTTTGATGGTATTGATGGAATACCACATTGCCAATACTGCATTACAGTTCCATCTAGGGGATCCCCTTTATACAAAGACGTGTGTTTATTTACTCATCTTTGTGGGGCTTTATGACTAGGTTGCCCTTTAGATGAACATTATCTATTTTTGCAGATGCTGTTTCAAAATTGATTAGTTCTCCGACACGCCCACTGGAATCATCCAACCTATTGAAGAAGCAGAATGGGATGTGGATTATAGGGTTTCAGATAACACCAAGTCCTTGTGAAAGGTATGTTATTTCATTGCTTTGTTCTGCTTTTGGAAGAGTGTAGCTGTGTTTTCTTTTCTCCAACTGTATAGGTCACAGCAATTTTTTTTTCCACCGGGAATTACAAGCTATACGGAAGATTTCCAGAGTAGAATCACAGTCTCACACAAATGCTAAATACAACTAATCAGGGCCTGGAAGGTACACAGAGGGTAATTAGTAGGTTATATTTGGGTCAGCACTAAGGTCATTTATGAGATACTACAAGAAAAAGACTGTTTGTCTTTCTGTAGGGAAAAATAGAAATATATTCATCTTGTGCACTGTAATAGATGCATTAAAATGGGTTAAAGGCATTTTTGGTAATTTCACATGTATATGTATCTCTGTATGTAAGACGGTTTTAAAGTACAAACTGAAACGTTTTACCGTATTCATAATGAGTATTAAAATTGGTAACAAGAAATTGCGTAAATTTTCCCACTATGCTATAACTAGTAGCATTGACTAGTAGCATTGCTACAATTGACAAAAGGAGATGCTTACTCTTAACTTAGTAGGCTTTCCGCTACTAAAAAGATATCATTTGGTAGTCGTAAAGCCTTCACCACACAGCTATCACTAATGAATTTATAATAGTAGAACATGCCAAGTTTACAGTAGATCTTAGTTCATGGCCTATATAGGCTATTCAGGGCTTCCCTGACTTTTTTTTAAATTTTTATTTATTTTTTAAATTTCTTTTTTATTTTTATTTTATATAATAATATATAAATAAATATATAAATAAAATATTTTATATTTTATTTTATTTTTATAAATTTAATTTCTTTAAATTTATTTTTTAAATTTCTTTTCAGTTCCAGAATTCATTGTTTATGCACCACACCCAGTGCTCCATGCAATACGCGCCCTCCACAATACCCACCACCAGGCTCACCCAACCTCCCATCTCCCTCCCCTCCAAAACCCTCAGTTAGTTCCTCAGAGTCCACAGTCTCTCATGGTTCATCTTCCCCCTCCAATTTTCCCCAACTCCCGTCTCCTCTCCATCTCCCCATGTCCTCCATGTTATTCCTTATGTTCCACAAATAAGCGAAACCAAAAATTAACAAGACAGTAAACAACATGTGTTGAAGAGGATGTGGGAGAAAGGGGAACCCTCTTACACTATTGGTGGGAATGCACGTTGGTGCAGCCACTTTGGAAAACAGTGTGGAGATTCCTTAAGAAATTAAAAATAGAGCTTCCCTATGATCCTGCAATTGCACTACTGGGTATTTACCCCAAAGATACAGATGTAGTGAAAAGAAGGGCCATCTGTACCCCAATGTTCGTAGCAGCAATGGCCACGGTCACCAAACTGTGAAAAGAACCAAGATGCCCTTCAATGGACGAATGGATAAAGAAGACATGGTTCATACATACTATAAAGTATTATGCCTCCATCAGAAAGGCTGAATACCCAACTTTTGTATCAACATGGACAGGACTGGAGGAGATTATGCTGAGTGAAATAAGTCAAGCAGAGAGAATCAATTATCATATGGTTTCACTTATTTGTGGAGCATAAGGGCTTCCCTGACTTTTATGAACACTAAATGAGAGAAGATAGTGTTAATTCAAAGTGTGAATGTAAGATATATATTTAGGAATTGTTGAATATAGTGTAAGTTTATCATATTGGTGAATTACAGGAATAGTTTAAAAATAAAAGCCATTAAAAAAAAATCTCTTCTTCACATACATAAGGATCTCATTTATACCCACTGTTTCAACCACCACCCTCCTGGAACATATTTCTCATTACTTTCTCTGTCTAGGTCAGACCATCTCTCTTAAACTCTAGATACACAGATCCAACTACCTTCTATATCTACATCAGTTTCTGTCCAAATACACAACCTTATCAGTGTCTTTACATTTAAGTATATTCAAAGTTAAGCTCATTATCTTCTCCCATATCTCCCATATCTTCTCCCATAAACCTCTCCTTCTTCTTGCTGAAGTTTCAAATGAGCCAAATGTTCAGATCTGGGTATCATCCTCCTTTCCTCTCTCTCCATCACTACTAGTGTATAAACAATCACTTCTTATAATAATTTAGCTTATAAATATCTATGGAAACCATTCCTTTTATTCCCTCTGCCACTGTCTTAATTCAGGTCTTCATGATTTTTTTCCGCCTGAATGACTCCAATGATCTCTTAATGGGTATCTTAGCTTCAGTTTTTTCTGATCTCTCTTTAATTCATTCTTTGAATTTCTACCAGAGAGAGCATTTTAAAATACAAATCTGGCCATGTAACTCCCCTCCTTAAAATCCTGGTCTGTCTCTCTTACCCTTAAAAAATGAACCTGAACTTCTACTTCTCACATAAAGTAGAAGGCATCAAGCATGAGTGCTCTTAACTTTACTGAACTCTTCCCGTGTGCATACGTATTTTCAATTATTCCTATCTTTACCTTCTCATCTTCCTTCTTTCTGGCCAAGGCAAAGTTCTGGGCCCTTGATCTGTGTCCTTTTGCTTTCTGCTTCCTCAGCTCTCAGACCATCATTTGTAGCCATTCTCCTCATTCTCTACTTCTCTGCCACCTCATTCCTCTTGACATACAGAGTTTCCTTGACATACAAGTTTCCTTCATCTTAAACAAACAAAAATCATTCCTCAGATGCAACAAGGCCAAAACAGAACTCACCATTTCCCCATACCATACCATTTATGGTTAACTGGTTTTTGTCCTTCAAAACAGAGCTTATGTTGTACTCTCCATGCTCACTCTGTGTTATTATATCCTTTTGAATATTTACCTATAAAACACTTCACATATTATAGTTAACTATTTGTTTGCTTGTCTTTATTAAACTGTGAGCTTCTTGAGTGTGGAAACTGGTATAATTATTATCATCAATTAATTAATTAAGTAATAGTGAGTAATAGATTAAGTAAATAATTAAGTAATAGATTATGTCAAAACATAATCTCGGGTCTGAACACCTATTATTTTTCTAAAATTTCTATTTTTAGCTCTCATTTTGTCAGAAACTAAATTTAATCAGTCAGGTTTTTACCCACTTCCCTACTCCATAGAGAACTGTGTGTAGATTCTAGGTAGGTATGAAGTACTGATGCTGGTGAAGGTGGGGCCTGGGGTATGTCTGGGCCCAAGTTGGCCAGGCTGCATCCTCAAGACTTCCCATTCCTGGCTCGTCTTCATTTAATGTACATTCAAATGCCTATACCCTCCTGATCTAGACAACAAGCTGACTTGGCTTTCTCTCAATTCTCTTCTCTTAAGAGACATGTAACTGGAATTTCTCTTGTTCTTTTCCCCTCCCCCACCCACCTACCCCCAGAGATAAGGACAGTGGTTGAGCACTGAGTGGGACCTCATCTCAGGAAATAGCAGTGTCTTAGCTTTCTTAATTTCTGTCTCTCTCTCTCTCTCTTTCTCTGCCCTCTGGAATCAGCTTTTAAATCAAACTGGCTTTGAACTTTCTTTCCAAATCTGTTGGCATAAACTAATTGCCCTGAGTATTTCAGGGATTAGGGTTTTGAAATTCCAAATCCTAGTGTATCAGTTTGATCCTTTCTACTGGAAAAAAAAAAAAAAAAAGAATACCTAACTAAAACATAGCCTCACTAATGAAAAACTTTAATGATCATATGTAAGAGGAGATTCAGTGGTTAGGGACAATTCTTGGGTTGGTTCACAGAGCAGTAATGTCAATGATTTTTCATATTCTTGCCTTCTCTCTGTGACTCTATCTTCTGTAGTATTGGTTTTTTTTCTCAAATTTGTTTCCTCATGATCTCAAGGTGGTTGCCTTTCTCTCTTATTTTTAGGGAGCTATACTTACCATATATTTTTGTTTTATTTTATTGTATTTATTTATTTAAATTAATTTTTTAAATTTTAATTTCAGTATAGTTAATATACAGTGTTATATTAGTTTTGGTTGTACAATATAGTGACTCAACAGCTCCATGTATTACTCAGAGTTCATCAAGATAAGTATACTTTTAATCCCTTTCACCAGTTTCACCCATCCTTCCATCTACCTCAGTCGCCATCACCTATCCAATGCATCCCCCCGCACCTCCCCTCTGGCAGCCATCAGTTTTTTCTCTAAATTTAAGAGTCTGTTTTTTGGTTTCTCTCTTTTTTTGTCACTCATTTGTTTTGTTTCTTAAATTCCACATATGAGTGGAATCATATGGAATTTGTCTTTCTCTGACTGGCTTATTTCATGTATCATTATACTCTCCAGACCCATCCATGTTATTGCAAATGGCAAGATTTCATTCTTTTTTATGCCCAAATAATATTCCATTGTATATATTTATATTATATCTTTTTTACCCATTCATCAATCGATGGACACTTGGGCTGCTTCCTTATCTTGGCTATTTTAAATAATAGTACTATAAACATAGGGGTACATGTATCCCTTTGAATTACTGTTTTTGTATTCTTTAGGTAAATACCTAGTATTGCAATTACTGGGTCATAGGAAAATTCTTTTTTTAACTTTTTGAGAAACTTCCATACTGTTTCCAGAGTGGCTGCACTAATTTGCATTCCCACCAACAGTGTGTGTTACTTTTTCTCCACATCCTCACCAATACCTGTTGTTTCTTGTGTTGTTAATTTTAGCCATTCTGACAGGTGTGCGGTGATACCTCGTTGTAGTTTTGATTTGTATTTCCTTGATGATAAGTGATGACAAACATCTTTTCGTATGTCTGTTGGCCATTTGTATGTCTTATTTGGAGAAATGTCTTCATGTACAGAAATCTGTTGCATTTCTATACACCAATAATGAAGCAGCAGAAAGAGAAATCGAGGAATCAATCCCATTTATGTATTGAAAACCGTAAGATACCTAGGAATAAACCTGGCCAAAGAAGTAAAAGATGTCTGAAAACTGTAAAACACTGATGAAAGAAATTGAAGATGACACAAAGAAATGGATTCGAAGAAATGCTCATGGATTAGAAGGACAAATATTATTAAAA